TGTTGTTTAAATGTCGAGTGGACTTTATCTTTCCCGTACCAATTATAGGCATGCCAGCCCATACACAGGTCGTGCCCTTCTAAATTTAAAATTCTGGTATTCTCTAAAGTTAACCAATCTTTAATCCAAATTAATGCCGCGGCCTGATAATATAGTTTCCAATTGGGAAGTCCGAATCCCCCTCTTTCTTTCCTATTTTGTAATGCTTTTAAATTAATTCTGGCTCGCTTCGGAAACCAAATGAATCTTTTTAACTCTTTATCCATTTCTAAAAGGATTTTATAATTCTTTAATATGGAACCATTTTGGGCTAAAAATAAAAATTTCGGTAGTATCATCATTTTTATAGGGAACTACTGATAAGTATTGATACAGTTTCCAGCAGTTCCTTGAGCTACCTTGGAACTGACAAAGGGCTGCTCTAGGAATAAAATCACAGAGTTTCTAGTATTTCCTGGAGCTACCCTTTGTCAGGCATTTTTTAAAAATTTCCCCCCTACACTCAGAGTGGTATTGAGCAATGGGATCAGGGGGTGGGGCAGCCCTATGGCAAACTGGTTTGTGGCATAACTAGTAGAATCAAATTATCTTGCTGTGTGAAAGGGAAAGGATGAGAGGCGTTTCTGCATGTGAGCCTGCTTTTCTGTTAACAGATGAAGTATACTACAGACATGCTGAATGGAACTGATTGCTTCATTTTGATTTGTACCTTTGATTCTTCCTTTTAAGGTAACATTCCCCTTCTACATTATGTATTTTTGGACTGCTTCCTTTCTAAAATACAAACACTGCCTGCCTGGACTGGGCAGAGGCCAATGCACACACATATCTGTCAGTTCAAATCTATGAAAGTGGGCTACAAAAAGGTTATAGCTCCTCTGTATATGTGCAGATAAAACTAGCTAATATTGATGGAGGCAGGACTGCTGTGAAGGAGGAGAGACAAAATTCCCTGGTTCCTTGTCACCCTGGAGAACCAGAGAACTGAGAAAGCTTCCATTATGGTGTGGCTATAAATCTAGAAGGCCCTTTATTGAGAGGAAGAGAGGGAGAAGTGTGAGCTTGTGATAGATAGTCCCTACATCACATCGTTATTATGGGGATAAAATGGGAAGATCATGCATGCAGTCCGTAGTTTTTCTGAGAAAGGGGCAGGGTATAAATGTGATGATTAGAATGGCAAAAATAATAATGGTGCATTAGCCATGCTGATAGCAAATTATGTGAATTATTTTCATAAGATTATTGGGTTGGGGGACCAGAGGGCATCTTTGTTTAGAGGCTTGTGGTCTCTTGGCACCACTGTGTGGGAGGAGATAAAAAGACAGGTATTCAAAATTACCATTAGTTAGTTGTCTTCTAAGAAATTATAAAATACATTACTATGGACCCATTTTAGCATGCCTGGTGCACACATACATTGCTAATATAATTACTGTGCCAGAAAGACTATAAATTGTACAAATGAATGTACAATTCCATTGCAGAGTTTACAAACTCTATGGGAATATTTATGTACTGCATATGAAAAGCCTGGAGTTCTTCTCCATTGCTACACCTGTAGTTTAAAAATCAAGCAGGCACCTATTTAAGAATTATCATCAGTACTGACCTGATGCTTCTTTGATTCTTCCAGTTACACAGGACAGTTTACACTTACAAATTCTAAATAAAAGAATTTAGCAAAAAACTCTGAAGCAGGAGTGCATTAACATACTTATAACACATTAGCATATGCCACGCCCCCTGACATCACCAGAAGTGTGTCACAAGGGGAAGCAAAAAAGGGGGGGAGGCATCTTCAAAAGCCTCCCCTTCTCTTCCCCAGCAGGCCTGCCAAGGCGGGCTGGGGGGGAAGGGAAGAGAGAAGGGGTTTAAAATTCAATGCAAAAATCGTGCTGCCGTTGTGATGCGACTCTAGAGAGAAGGGGTTTAAACTTTAAACCCCTTCTCGCTTCGCTCCCCCCCTAGCCCGCCTTGGCAGGTTGGCTGGGGAAGGGAAGGGAGGCTTTTGAAGATGTCTTCCCCTTTTTTTTGCTTCCCCAGTTTGCCTGTCAAGGCGGGCTGGGGGGGGGAAGTGAAGAGAGAAGGGGTTTAAAGCTTAAACCCCTTCTCTCTAGAGTCGTGCTGTAGCGGCAGCACGATCTTTCCATTGTATTCTATGGGGCCATAGAATACAATGGAAAGATTGTGCCACCCTTGCGGCGCAACTTGGGGGGAATAAATGCCTGGCTTCCCAGCCCAATCTTCCTGCGGGGCACCTGGAGAAGATCGTGCTGGGAAGCCAGGCATATAAATCCCTCCTGAGTCTCTTCACAAAAGCAGAGAGGCTCAGGGGGAAAGGAGGGCATGTCTGCCCACCTCCCCTTCCTTCTCCAGCCAGCCCGCCGTGGCGGGCTGGCTGAAGAAGGAAGGGGAGGCGGGCAGACATGTCTGGCTTTCCTGCCCAATCTTCTCCAGGTGCCCTGCAGCTGTGGGGCACCTGGAGAAGATCGGGCTGGGAAGCCAGGCATTTAAATATCGGGGGGGGGGGGACGGGGCCTGGGCTCCTTACTGCCGGAGCACCACTCTGGGGCACTCCAGCAGTAAATGACCCCTGAGGAGGAGTAGGAACTGATGTTACCTCCTAACATGCTATAACTAAAGCATTAGTCCATAATACATTCACTGAGAGAGATTTTTTCTGCCTGAGATCCAAGAGAACTACTGTCAATAAGAACAGACAACATCAAGCTAGAAGGAATAATAATACCTGATATAAAGCAGCTTCATATTTATTTATTACATATATTTCTAAGCCTATGTGTCGAACAGCATAGCTGGAATCTGAGGTGGGCAATAAGATTAAAAATAATAAATAACCACTGTTAAAAATCCTGTCAATAAATAGAAAAAAACCTTTATAAAAACAGTATCTCCAGGACCAGCTTTAATGTGGGAGGAAGACTCATTAGAGAGAGAGAGAGAGAATCCTCGAGGGAAGAGAAGCCCCTTTCCATGGTTCTCACTACACCTGAGGCTCTATGTACTCTAGGACAGAGGTTCCCAACTTGAGGACCAGGACTAGAGGATGGGGGGGACATGGAGTTATTGGAAGGAGTCCATGAATTCATATACACGATAAGCATTTTCATTTTGATCTTTTTGCCCCAATCCCAACAGCCATGGCCTGGCGCGACATCCCCAACATGATGACGTCACACAGAAGTGAGGTTTTCATGCCCAGGGCATCGCACGATGAAGCTCTGGTATTTTGGGCAAAACAATATGGTCACCCCATCCCCCACTCCCGGAAATCTCCCTCCTACCACCTCCCACCCTCCGCTGGCGAGGAGGTAAGACCAGGCAACCCTACTGTTGTTAAAAGTCACAGTGTTCATCTTCTAGTTTTGAGGTTTGCCTAGAAATTCCATACACTGTACCTCTTCATTTTATGGTATTTTCCCTTCACTGTTGACAATCTTTCTACTATATATCCAAGTTTGTAACTATATCTGCTGACTGAAGACTCCAAATTATCTCAGGAATGTTGGGTGACCTTGGGCGGGCTGTGGTTCTCTCGGAGCTGTTCTCTCAGGAGTGGCTCTTGGAGAGCTCTCTTGACCCCACCTGCCTTGTGGGGTGTCTGTTGTGGGGAGGGGAAAGAAAGGAGAAGGGCAGAGTGTAATTCCAATCTCCTCCTCCTCCTTCTCTTCCTCCTCCTCCTTCTCCAACACAGTCTGGAATCTGGAGACTATTTTAAGAATGTAAGGAATGACTTATTTATAATTTTAATAATATTATATTTGCTGTTTTTAAATCCTGCTGTACATCACTCAGAGTCCTGTGTATGGCGATATAATAATAATAATAATAATGATAGTAGTAGTAGTAGTAGTAGTAATAATAATAATAATAATAGCAGCAGCCATCTAAGCTTCTTGGGCAATCGCACACTCTCAGCCTAACCTACTTTACAGGGTTATTGTGAGGATAAAATGGAAGCTAGGAGAATGATGTGAGCCACTTTGAGCCCTGATTGGTGCTAAATAAATAAATAAATTGCACCAAGATTTAACTAGGGCATATTCCAGGAACTTGTTTTCAACATTGGGGCTGAGTCCTGGAAGAAAAAAGTACTTCTGTGCCTTTCCCTCACAACTGTGTAACTACAGTCTTCTGCCCCACTCCCCAGGTTTCAAATATAAGGATTAAACCCCCAACTTCCTTCTGATACTCTCTCCAATTTTTCCAGCTTCCTGCCAGTTAAAAAACAAAACTGTATTTTTAAAATAATGTACCAGAACAGTCTAAAAAGACAATTTTTAAAAATATATATTGATGTTGCTTTATCAGTCAATTAAGCCGTGTGTGTGTGTGTGGGGGGGGACTTTGCTCTCAAAAACTCTCTCACTTCCATTTCCCATCTACAAAAGTGTTTGTTGGAGCTTTAGATTAAGGAAACCAGGGTTTAAAAGCAACCAATAGTAAACACATTTAATTTCCATTTTAACACATTGAAGTTTCTTGGAGGAAAATTGGGTGGGAGGGGGGAGCTGTCAGCAAATTCATTTAATTTTTTTCATTTTATGCCAGTCTCTTTGCATGACTGAGTAACTGATATGAGCAACAATTATAAGGGGATTAAGAGGAATCTTATGTCATCGTGACACTGAAAGGGCTTCAAGTGAGTGGGACATTATACTGTTTGGGAAAGATAACTAGTTATGGAGCTCCTGACTTCAGCTTTAGTGGGAAAAAGTATGGGCAGATAGTGAATAAAAATAATTCAGTGGTAATAGGATGTGAAAAAAGGAACACCAGCAGTGCTGACAGCTGGCAATGGATGGAACCAAAGAATTAGGATAGAATGAACTGGAATGAAAAGTAGGACTGTGAACGGGTCATAGCCTTTCTTTAAACAGTTATAATAAATCTGCACATTACTAGTTGAGATTAATTCATTACTTAACACCAGTGTCATTAACAGCTAAGCATGGTCCAACAATGTACATACTTACCTGTATCCTTTATCAAGAGAGATACATTTTGAGTCATGTTTGCAAGGGTTTAGTTCAGGAACACACTGATTGATCACCTCGTCACACAGCTCTCCTAAGATAACAAGAGAAACAAAAATACTTATTTCCTGTGAGAAGTTTGTTCATTTTCCTGAACCATCTTCACCATAAGGTTCAAGGACTAGGTTTGTAGAGTTGAAAAAAGGAGGAAGCACTTGGCTAAAACCCAATGAGTCCACATTTTGGAATAATTATTTTGTTCCACCAATTATATCTGTGTAGCAATACAAATGTTATAGCAGAGCAGAGAAACACTGCAAACTACACAGGAAGATAATTCATACCTTGATTAGGCATAACTCTTCTTTCGCCACATGAAGTCCACAGCAGAGAGAGCTAGTGATATATTTATCAGGGCTAAATAAAGGTAGTGAATTAAGCATAATTTTTCATTTGGTGCCAAATGCTTTATTTTCTTAGAATATTATTACTATATTCAAAATTACTGTATTAAAAAATAGACATTTTAGTAAAGCAAAACAAATTTAGAGAGGCAAAGAATTATACAACATTCACCAGAACAGCAGAGTATGTCCTGAATATATAAAATATGCTGTTTGCTCTGAAAAATTTACCCTGGAGTACAAGGAACAGTTCAGCTGTTTCTAGCTATTACCTGTACAACTCAAGCCCTAATCTTGTGTTCCTAACCTAATAATGAACAGAACCAGGGTACTCAAACTAGCAGCCTTCTGAATCATATTATTTTGTTATACTTGAGTACCTCAGAACTTGAGATACTACCCGTGGTGGAACTAGAAACTGTGTCTTGTTGTAACTAATACCCAGGTTATTAAACCCTCAAACCAAACCTGATCCCTATACAGTTTAAGCCATTGTTTTCCTGTAAAGTTAAGCTGCGTATGGACAGACCACCAGACATTTCACAATCTTCTAAGTAGTCCGCTTAATAAAAAAAATATTTCAGGGACTGCTGGCAAGAAAAACAAACAGCAATGTCCTGCGATAGTACTAATGCTTTTGCCATATGCACTGTATAACACCAGGCTATATCAATTGTAAATAATGCCCAAAGGAATTACATGAAGTCAGAACGACACAAAACTCTCCTACTAAAAATAATTTATGACACTTACCTTGCTTGGTATGTACCTGTGTGTATGTGTGGGGTGTTAACTCAAGTCAGGTTCTAAGCAATGCCCAAATAAGTATTCTAATGTTAGGTATCATTACAGTTCTCAAACACTTCTACTTTATTCATAGTTTGCTGGTGGTAAGAGCCAAGAATATATATTTTTTTAAACCCATGGCTCAGTTGGGATGATATATATTGTCTTTCCCACATAGCAATGTATAACAACAACAACAACAACAACAACAATAATAATAATAATATTTATCTATATCTTCTGAATAAATGAGCAAAGAGTGGATTTATGCTAGTATGCAGACATGATGTGATAACACTGCATAAGTAACAAAAATAAATGTTTTGGGATTGGAGACTCTGGTCTTTTTTCAGAACATCACTAATGGGAGGAGACTGCAATACCCTGACAAAAATGATTGGTACTATGGAATAAGAACCCCAACTAATTTTAAGTTTCACTATTGACTTTGGCACACAGTGCATTGGAAATTTAGCACTATCCATTCCTTGCTCCACTCCCAAAGTAAATTGGAAAACAGATTTAGCTTTATACAACTGACACACCATGCTTCTGTTAATATGTATTGATGATGCTGGACGTTCGGTTCCCCAGGGCCTCTGCCTTCCACCATGCTGAGGAGCGTGATCAGGAACCGCTGAGGACTCAGAAAGCAGACCGCGGGGTTATGTCACCTCCACCGGCACCTGTCATTGGTCCTGAGTTTCTCTCTGTCCCCAGCCCTCCCCAGCCTCAGCATCTTTAGCCCCTCGTATGCTTCCGTGCTTCCTTCCTCCTCCCAATCCCTGAATAGTTCCTACCCTTGTCTCTCCATTCCCTTGACCTTCCCATTGGCTAGTGAAACAGGCCTTTTACGAGTCAGTCCCCACCTCCCCCACCTTCCCTGTGCATTCCTCTGAGCTCAACTCTTGGCATAGCTGGCGAAGGCCCAGGTGTCAGTCATTCCTGTGTTTGTCCCACTTTATTGACTGAGGCTCATGCTGGTACGAGATGGATCGTTTGGCCTGCCTTCCCTTCCTCCCTCCCATATGTTTTCCCCATACCCTTGGCCCGTGTGTCCCATCTCCTGCCCTCCTGCTGCCCCCAACTCTAGCTCTCTCCTCAGGACTTCTGCCTGCCAGCTCTGCCCCTGGTATCGGGGCTGGCACTGTGGAGCCCCAAGAGGTGATTCGCCACTGTTGCATTGGGTCCAGGATTGGTGCAGAGTCAGGCAGGGCAGGCTGGGTCTTGCCGCAGGCCATGCCTGCTTGGCCGGGATCTGTGCTGCTGCCACCACCAGTTCCTCTGGGCTGGTTGTGCTGGGGTACTGTATGTCCAAGCCTGGACAGTGTCTTAAATTTTGTCGGGATTATTCTTGGTTTGTTGTATTAAAGTGTTTTTATGTGCATGTGTTCCCACTTGGGTTATTTCCAGTGGAATTTGCAATCTTATGGCACTACAGAATTGCAGATGTTGTGTACAAATCAGTTTGTTCACCAGAAAAACAAACGTATATGTGGGGAACAGAGCAGAATCAAGGCAGAATTGCCAGGTCCTACCTTTAAGCAAGCAGGGGACTCTCAGGTCCTTCCCAGGATCTTCTGCCGCACACACGGACCCAGCAGTGATGTCATCACATCACCAGTATCGGGGAGGTGATGCTGTAGATTTTGGACAAAACTCTATGGTTTTTTGCCTTCTAAACCAAGAGTTTGCCCAGAAACTAGAGCATCACCCCCGTCATAGACGACGTGATAACATCACTTCCGGGTGACATCGCCATGACAGGGACGTCACATGGTGACATGCCCGTTCGGGGGTGGGGCTCTTCCTGCCACTCAGCTGGCAAGGTCATTTCTGTATCTGAAGAAGTGAGCAGTGACTCACAAAAGCTCAAACCCCTACCATAAATTTTGCTAGTTTTTAAGGTGCTACTGGACTCTTACTCTTTTCTACTGTTTTAATGCAGCAACATTATAAAGGAGTTAGCCTTCCCCTCCCCAGCAATGTTCCCTCTAAGCTCCGAAGCTCTGTGTGCAAAAAATTTTCTTTGTGAACTAAACCATAAAAGTTGTGAGCCAGCCTACATTTTAATTTTTTTAAATTTCAGTTTACAAACATACGAAATATACAAACATGAACCTCCAGGGGCCTGATGCCCTGCCAGCTCACCAAGCCAACTGAACTCTGAAAGCCACATCACAAAATATAATGAAGTGGAGAGCGATTATTTTGCACAATTTTTTTTTTGCTCCCCAATCGGGAATTTTTAATTACATTTTTATTAAGACAACAAACTATAACAGAAATGAGAGAGGGGACTACATTTAAGGGATAAAGAAAAGATACCCACTACTGACTAAAAACCCAAGAGAGGAGATAATCAAATTAGCTTAAATATACGCTATCTCTTAATCACGCTAGTACCATTATGAATTGAGTTACATATCATATTATCTCTTTCAAAACTTAAACTTAACTGTTAACAGGTAAGACCCCTCAGCATCTAGTTTCAATACTTTCAAAGGCACAATTCAGAGTCCTTCAGCCTTCATTTTCCCTTTCCCTGTCTCTTCCGCAATTTATAAGGACTTTTAGGGGCTGCTGCCCCTTTCTCTGATAGAGAGTCCGGAAGATCCCGAGTCCAGCTCGCCACTGGACTTACTGTCTATCCCTTCTTTTTCTTCCTCCTCTGGCTCACCCAACTGGATTCTCAAAAATTCCCGAGCTTTCTGCGCATAGTCAATCTTCTCTTTTTTGTCCTTCATTTTGAAGGTGAAGCCTTCTGGAGTTAGCCATCTGTATCCAATTATTAAATTATTTTGCACAATTTAAGTGCATCCATTAAAACAACTTACACATTTTTTTTATGAACCATGCTGATAATTTATACTTGTCAGGGATACTCTAGGCTGATCCTGCATTGAGCAGGGGGTTGGACTAGATTGCCTGTATGCCCCCTCCCAACTCTGAGATTCTATGAAAAGGCACTTTTCTCTCCACTGAGACTCACCAGCAACCATCCAAGCAAGTTCAAGCCTCCATGTGGAATCTCAAAACAAATTCAGGGGCTTTCTCTCCACTGGGACTCACTGGCAACCAGCCAAACAGGTTCAAGCCTCCATGTGGAAGCTGGCTCCCCCCCCCCAACAAACTCAAAACAAACTCAGGGGCTTTTCTTTCCACTGGGACTCACTGGCAACCAGCCAAGCAGGTTCAAGGATTCACGTGGGTGCCGACTCTTTTCCTCCCCCCAAAAAACAAAGAGGCACATGAAGAACTTCGTGCTGCATTTACCTTTAAAGCCCATTGGGGCTGGAGAGAGAAACATGCAGCATGGTAGGTGGGGCCCTTCCAAGTCCCCCCAACTCTCCTCTTGGGCAGAGAGAGGTAAGGGGGAGATGTACCTGATCCAGTGGCCTGGGGGGCAAGCGAGCAGATCTTCTTGGGTGGCACAGCAGGAGGGCTTTTCCAGAAGTTCTAGTTGAAGCAGGAATCAGGGTGGGGCCCTCACAAGTGCCTCCCTTCAAAGGCCTGCCCTGCAGCTAAGCACCAGACCTCTGGCCAGTGAGCCTGCTGCCAGGGTGGTTTCTTTCACTCAAACAAAAGGCATACTTTTCCTTCTGGACACATGAAAAGCATCACTCCAACAAGGCTGTGCCAGGAAAGAGCCCTCCCCCTTTTTAACGTGGAGTTTTTAGCACAAAAATTGTGTTGTTTACAATTTGAACAGAAGGACAATGTCATATGGGGTGGAAGGTGCATGACTAGATAGAACTGTCAGCTCTGGATTGGGAAGTACCTGGAAATTTGGGGGGTGGAGCCAGAGAAGGGTGGGGTTTGGGGAGGGCTTCAATATGGTATAATGCCATAGAATCCACCTTGCAAGGCGGCCATTTGATTTGATTTATTAAATTTATATCCC